CCCCTACCTCTACGCCTCCAACTACGACAACGACCCTTCCTTACTACGAATACACCCACCACTTACTTTACCTTACCCTTCCCTCGCAACTACTAATAGTGTGTAGTATATATATATATATATATATATATATATATTAGGAAATGGTTAACTTATTTACATGAGTAAGAATCACAAAAAATAAAAATAAAAATAAAAATGGAGTAATGAACAAAGAACAATGAAATGAGAAGTAGAAACATGGGACGTACCTGAGATTTCTTCAAGGGCTTAAGCAAGAGAGAGAGTACATGATTAGTTGGGGTGCTTGGGGTTGCAAAGGGGCACAGCTAGTAGAGAGAGAGAATAGGCTTGGGAAGAGAGAGATTGAGGGGGCTTGGGTAGTGTAGAGAGAGAATGACTTGGGTGGAGAGAGGTTAGAGTTGCAGAGGAAGAGAGAGAAAGGGGCTTGAGCAGAGGGCTAGAGCCGAGCAATTCCCCGTTAATATGCGGTTTTCTCCGTTCTCAGGGCCCAACAGATAGCAGATATCTGGGCATTGGATAGAGAGTTTACCTCATCTGAGGAGAAGCATGTCTACAATGGAGAGAGGAAGGGAGGGGAAGAGGGGAATGGTTTGTAGATGATTCTGTATGTGATAGAGCTTGAAGAGCTAGAAAAAAGAGGGGAAGCAGTTCAGAGGAGGCTTTATGCGTGACAAGCAGTAGAGAGAGAGAAAGAGGGGGTGAATGAAACACAAGTAGAGAGAGAGAGGGTGAATGAAACACAAGGAGAGAGAGAGGATGAATGAAACAGAAGTACAGAGAGAGAAGAATGAAACACAAGTAGAAAGAGAGAAGAATGAAACACAAGTAGAGAGAGTGGGGGAGGCGGAGGGGGAGAGAGCGACGGATCCCCTGTAGAGAGAGAAACTGATTTCCTGTGAAGCACACCAGGAGAGAGAAAAAAAGAGAGCAATTCAGAGACCAGAGAACCGACTGATATCCATTATCGGAGATGTGAGAGAAGAGCGCGCGCTTAAAACCTATGATCACAACGGAAAACGATGATACAGCAAGCCACTAAAATTGAAAGGGTTTGGTTTGCAAGGTTGCAACATTGAACGATCAAAGTAAGGCGCATCTCCAATTATAAGATGTAATTTTGGTGTTGAATTTTTTAGGACGGTGCCATAATCTATTTTTATCTCTAATTATAAAGTTTAAAAATGGTTCAAATCAAACATATCTATAAATATATGAAAATCTTGAAAATGGATTGTCTAAATAATGTGTTGCAAGATTCACTATTTGTAGGATTTATGGTATCCTTTTTTTCAATAGATCCATACATCTCGATGTCGAGAGGATCAATAGATGTTTTTCTAATGTCAAAACAACCTTTTCAAGGGATTTTTGATGTGCACCTTAAATCTACATGTTAAGGTGTGAACTTTATACAAACTTTTTTTCAAATTGAAAATACCATAGGGGAATTTGGTAATTGGAAGTAGGAATAAGGATTGGAGATTTCCAATTCTAAAATCAAGAAGACAAAAAATCTAAGTACCTGATAGTAAAAAAATATTATGTCGTTAATTTGTTTAGAATTATGGGAATTCTAAAAAACTGTGTTTGGCTTAAGCTGGAACTTTGTAAACTAGCTGATCTAGAAATTTGCCAATTTTATTAATTTAATTTTTGTTAATAGCATGGTGATTTAAATAATAACTCATCCAGATAGTTCCAACAAAATGGACAATCTAGACCATTTAATCTTTTGTTAATGATGCATCGCTAAGATATTTTATGTTCCATACTCTCACTCTCATGCAACTATAAAAATAAAAAATATTTGGAAAAATAAAATTATAGAAATACCCTTATTAATAATTGGAAGCATACTTGAGTATTTTAATTTCATTTTTTTTCTATATATCAGATTAAGCTAAAATCTTGCGCATCTATGATTCTCACCCTCAAGCATATGTGAAAAGTATAAAAATATTTCGAAATAATAAAATAACCTAAACACCCTTTAAATTATTGGCAGAGCATAACAAAGAATCACAACACAATTAGGCAGTGGAGCTAGGTCCAAAGTGAAGAAATGGTACACATCTTCTTTAGTGTTAGTGTTCTTGAGTTTAAAAATATCGAAAATATTTAATCTAAAATACTCGTGAGGAATTTACTCCAAAAAGCAAAGGATCACAACACAATTAGGTATTAGGAGCTAGGGCCAAAGTGAAGAGATGGTACACATCTTCTTTATTGTTAGCATTTTTGAGTTTGAAAATATGTGAAATTTTTAATCTAAAATTCTCGAGTAAGAAATTTACTCCAAAAAGCAAGCAAAAAAGAGAAAGCTCTCAAAATACTTTCACATGAATAAATTATATTACAAATCTCAATATTCTCATAATATTTTCAAATCTCAACATTAAAATAGAGATTACATTACAAGTGTCCTTTCCCTTTTTCCTTTCTTCATGAGCATGTACATCCATCTCTCTATCAACCCATTATCGAACATTATATTTTCCCTAGCCTCCCATCATGATATTGACACGTATGGCTATGAGGCCTTACGTATCTTAGGCTACACTTGTGGGAATCCAATGTTTATTATAATTATCCAAAAAATTATATTCAACATTCATATGGTGCAACGTCCATATGAACATTGGATGAATATCCTTGAAATCAAGGAAGCCTCTTTTTTTCTCAGAGACCCATTGGAGAAATATAACTGTTAGCCCTTCTTCTCCCTATAAAATGAGAAGCTAGAGAGAAGAAGCGAATAACAAAAAAAAAAAAAACGTAGAGGGATACAAAGCTTCTTCTTCCTCTGTAAACATACTTTTTCTTTCTCTCTCTCTAAAAAGCAAGCAACAAGGGTTCCTAATCCAAACTTTGCGATCACCTGCCTCATGGCACCCCTTATCTAATCGCGAGTTTAGTCTTATACGCCCTTCATCAATTTTCACTACTATTAGTATCAGAGCATTCAGGTTTCATCTTCCATATTGTTTTGTTGTTATATCTCTACATGAGTCCCATAAGACTCCTCGTCCCTACTAACTATTTTATATCTGATTTTTGTTTGGCAAAGGCTAATCTTTTTTGCAGAAACTACTAAGCCAGCCATCTTAATTGCTTTAATAAAAACATTTAGGTGTTTAAAATGTTGTTCTAGATTTTTAGAAAAAACAAGGACATCATCAATATATACAATCATGAATTTAGTATAGGGATTAAAAATATTATTCATAATATTTTGAAACTCTGAATAGGAATTTTTTAGACTAAAGAGCATAACATTCCACTCATATTGCCCAAAGGAAACATTAAAAGCAGTTTTATAATGATCATTTTCAGTAATCTGGACCTGCCAATATCCAGACTTTAGATCGAATTTTGAGAAAATACAAGCATTACCAAGTCTATCCAAAAGATCTCTCTCATTAAAAATGAGATA